GCCCCGCGCCGCCCAATCCGTCCCCGCAGTGACGCCCGCGCAGGCCCCGCCCCTGTGTGTGGGAGATGCGGGACCTCCGTCAGCGGGCGGTTTGCGAACGCCTCCTCCAGGTCTGTGATTGTCTTTTCACCGCGTCCTCAGCGTCAGCGGCCGCACGGGAGTTTTTAACTTAGGTGAAGTTCAGCTTATTTGTTCTTCTGTTGCTTGTGCTTTTGTTGTCTTATTTAAGAAACGGTGCCAGATCCAAGTCATGAAGATTTCCGTTATGTTCTCTAAGACTTTCACAGCCTCAGCTCTGTATCTACCACTTTGACCCATTTTGAGTCATTTTTCATGTGTGGTGTAAGGTAAGAGTGCAAGTTAAGTTCTTTATGTGCCAGTCATAGCAGCGCTATTTTCTAAGCAGTTGGCCTTTTGGCTGGGCGTGGTGGCACACGCCTGTAATCCCAGCACTCGGGAGGCTGAGGCAGGAGGATCGTTGTGAGTTCGAAACCAGCCTGGGATACAACATGAGTTCAAGGCCAGCCTGAACTGCATAGCGAGACCCTGTCTCAAAAAGACCAAAACAAAACAAAACAACAAAAAGAGAAATTGGCCTTTCCTCATTAAATGAACTCATTAAATGAACCTCATATTAAGGGGTTACTTCTGAACTTAGGATCTATTTCAAAAAAGGATTAACATGTGTTACTATATGTACAAACTCCTCACAGTGAATGTAATCACCATACGCTTCAAGTACGCATTTAAAAAGTAAAAAGGTAAATGAGATTCTGATGCGTTTTACTCCGGTATTTTTATTCTATATTAATTTCTTCAAGCAACTTAGAAAATATGCGTCGTTTTCATGTATTTCCAATTAACATTAAAGCTGTAAATTTTAGGTGTCATCTGCTCCTCTCTTTAAACATTTTTACTGGATTTGTAATAGTTAATAATTCAGCTGTTATATTAATAATTTTATTTCCTTATGCAATGTAGAGATTTATTTAGTTCATGTCATAATAATACTGTGTTGGATTTCTTGTGGGAAAAAAATTATTCCACTGATTTATATGCCTGTCCTTATGTCCTGCCATACTGTTTTGATTACATTGTTGCAGTAGGTTTTGAAACCAGGAAGTGTGACTCTTTCAACTTTTTTTTTTTTTTTTCTTAGATTGTTTTGGCTATTTCAGGGTTACTTGCAATTCCCTATCAATTTTGGATCAGCTTTTCCATTTCTACAGAAGAACGGCTTGTCTGGGACTCCGATGGGAATTGCGGTGTGTCTGTGTATTGTTTGGGGCAGTACTGCCTCTTCACAGTGTTAATTCTGCCGATCCCTAACATGTGATGTACTTCCGTGCATTGGAGTTTCTGTAATGTCTCTCATCGGTGTTTTGCAGTTTTCAGTGTGTGAGTCTGTCACCTGCTTGGTTAAGTTTACCTGTAAGTAAATTGTAAGTGGAACTGTTTTATTGATTTTCTTTTTGGACTATTCATGGTAGTATGTGGAAAGACAAAAGATTTTTTATTGTTGATCTCGTATTCTGCAGCTTTGCTGAATTTGTTTATCAGCACTGACACTTTTTCAGTAGGTTCTTTCAATTTTCTCATTACAGGTCACATCATCTTCGATTGTAGTTCTCCTTCCTTGACAGCATGGCTGTCTCTTATCTCTCTCGCTCTCCTAATCTCTGACCCGAAAGCAGAACCATGTTGGATGTAAGTGGTGAAGACGAGTGCTCTGTCTTGTTCCTATTTTAGGAAAGTGCTTCCAGTTTTTCCCATTGAATATAGTTAGCTGTGAGTATTTCCATCCATGTCCTTTATCATTCTGAGAATATCTATTCTAAGTCTGTTGAATGCTTTTATCATGAAAATGTGTTGACTTTGTTAAATGCTTTTTCTGTGTCAGCTGAGATAATTATGTAGTTTCTTCCCTTCATTCTGTTAATGTGGTGCATTGCATTGATTGGGCAGCTCTGATTTTTAAGATAAGCTAGAAATCTGAATTCTGATGGAAAATACCTTTACTTACTATTACTGTTATTATGATTTCTTTTGTGATGCTGAGGATTGAGCCCAGGGTCCCACGCATGCTAAGTAGGAGCTCTTCCATGGAACTGCACCATTAGCTCTCTTTGTTTTCTCTTTTTATTAGTGTGTGTTTGCAGTACACTGTGACCACAGTCCTCATGAGGGCTGGTGCGTGCACACATCCTAATTCTTCCCTCCTCTCCCTGTCCCTCCTTCCATGTGCCCTTCCCATTTGCAAAAGATCCACCTCCTTGTTTTCTGTTACCTGCCTTTCATTTTGCTCTGTATTCATATTTTGTGTTTTTCATACAAGAGAAACCATGCAATATTTAAACATGTCTGATTTATTTCACTTAAAATTATTTCTCAAGGTGCACCCATTTTCCTAGAAATGACTCAAGTTTATCCTTCTTTATGGCAAAGTAGTATTCCACTGTGTATAAGCACATTTTCTTTATCTGTTCACCTGTTGATGGACCTTTAGGTTGCTTCTAAGGTTTAGGTATTATGAATGGCTAATGATGCTATTTTGCTATAAACATGAGTATGTATGTATCACTGTAATATGATATCTTTAGCTCTTTGGGCAAGATACCTTGAAAGGGAATAGCTGGATCAAATGGACTTAGTATTAGTTTTCTCTCTCTCTCTTTTTTTTTTTTTTTTTGTACTGGGAATCAAACTCACAACCTCACACTTGCCAGGCAGGCGCAGTGCCACTGAGCTATATCTCCAGCCCCAAGTGTTAGTTTTTTGAGTAAACTTCATACTGATTTCCTTAACAGTTGTACTAGTTTACATTCCCACCAACATTGTTTCCCCCCTGTAACCTCACCAGCACTTGTTATTATTTGACTTTATTTTTCTTGAGACAGGGTCTCACCATGTAGTTCAGGCTAGCCTTGAACTTACTATGTAGCCCAGGCTGGCCTCAAACTTAAAGCTATCCTCCTGCCTCAGCCTCCCAAGTGCTGGGATTACCCATCATGCCCAATGAGCAACTTCATCTTCACTGGTGACCTAGTGTCTACCCATTCACCTCTCTCATACACAGGAGCTGTTTGGGGCAAAAGTCCATTCCTATTGTTCCCAAACACTTGAATCAAACCATCTTGAACACCTGTCTTGGTTACTTTTCTCTCATTGCTGAGACAAAATACCTGATGCCCAGAATTAAGGAAGGAAGGGTTTGTTTAGCTCATAGTCTGTGGAGGTTTCGGTCCATACCTGGCTGGCTCCAAGGTAGAGTGGCACATGGCAGAGGACAGCTGTTCATGGTGGCAGAAAACAGCAAAAGCATCAAGAGCAAAAGGGAGGAGCTGCAGAGAGCAAGCCTCTTCCTCTCCCTTACATTGTATTCGGGCTTCCCTCCACAGGGTGGGTGTAGCCCTCACTCCCATAACCCCAGCAATGGGCCACAAATCAATCACAAACTCTAGAACTCATGCCTGCGTGAGACCTTGGGGGGACTTCCAGACACAAACCATGACAACATCATTTCTGACATTGCTGGCTGCCGGGACCCACATCTCTTCAAGAAGCCAACACCATGACAACAGTATTCACCCTGCTGCCGCTTTGCCATTTAAGTGGTGGCCCTTCTTGTAGCCACCTGGAGAAGAGCGGCTTTTTCCTTCTTTGTTTTTTTTTTTTTTTTTTTTTTTTTTTTTTTTTTTTTTTTTCTCCGGAACCGGGAACTGTTTTTTTTTTTTTGTTTTTGTTTTTTTGTTTTTTCTCCGGAACCGGGAACTGAACTCATGACCTTGCGCTTGCCAGGCAGGCGCTTTGCCGATGAGCTAAATCCCCAGCCCCCAGCTTTTTCCTTCTTGAGGGTTGACTTATGAGAAGGTGCTGCTCTGCAGAAATCTGACCCTCCTGCCCAGGATTCATGTGCGAGGCCTGGGCGCTGTTGGCCTTGCGGGTCTAGACGTCGGCGTGGCGCCTTGTGAAGAGTGAGGAACACCAGCTGGTGTTCGCACACTGACCTGGGTCTGTCGCTCTGCTCCAAACATGCTGAATATTAAAGCACAGGAAACAGACAAGGGCTTTCAGCGCAGGTGTGGCTTTCCGGAGCAGGCGGCGCTCCACTGGGTGATCAGAGATGGATTTAAAGGAGAAAATGCTGCGACTCAAATCCAGTGTAATGTGGGGTAGACCCATCGGAAGTCCCCAGGCTTTGTTGAGGCTCTGAGGCCAGGAGGTGGCCCCGACCACTGGGCAAGGCTTACCCGGGCGTGGTGGCGCACACCTGTGATCCCAGCACTTGGGAGGCTGAGGCAGGAGATTGGCACAAGTGTAAGACCAGCCTGGGCTACGTAGTAATCTCAAGGCCTAAACTACATAACGAGACCCTATCTTAAAAAAGCAAATAGAGCAGCAAGGTTGCAGAGAAGAGGAGGAGACAGGTTTGAGCTGCGCCTCTGTGCTGACTGCACATCCTCCAGCACCTGTGAGTGTGACCTGATTGAGAAGCAGAGATGAGGTCCAGCTGCACTAGCGTGGGCCTTAATCCAACAAGCTGGGTCCTTGTAAGAGGTGGAAATTTGGACAGAGACCCAGAGGGGAAGGCGACGTGGAGTTGGAGGCAGAGGCAGAGCAGCCTAGGACGGCCAAGGGTGGCCGAGGATGGCCAGCAGCCACCAGAGACCAGGGAAGAGGAATGCAAGGAGAGCCAGCCTGCACGCGCCTTGCTCTTGGATGCTGGCCTGCAGAACCCGGAGTCAACGGAATTCTGTTTGTTTTACTCTTGCACCGCTGCGGATGGAGCACAGGGTCTCGTTCATGCGGACAAGCGCCCCGTCACGGAGCGACGTCCCCAGCGCAGAGGTCTGTTGCGCTAACCCCTGCCTGAGGTGCCGTCGCGGGGGCTGCAGGAACCCTCATCACAAAAGCTCTCCAGCAGGTGGCGCTCCGGGCTCGTGCTCGGGGCGGGCGGCCAGGGCGCGCGGGGAGCCGGGCTGCGCTCTCCGATCGGGACAGTGCACGGCGCGGTGCGGCTGGGGTTCTCCCCGGCGGTGACCCCGTCTCCTTGCCGTGTTTTTACATCAGTCGAGACCCGCCGGGCTGGAGCCCTGGACGGCCTGCCCCGAGGCCCCGGCTCCATCCGTCCCAAGCCCCGGTTCACCGACCGCCAGCCCCCGCGTGCACTGGC